ATTTATAATTAGGCTAAATTAATTACGTTTATATTTCCTGATTATTCTTTTATTTTATTTTTAGGTTTCCACGTCCAAGCCACGAAAACAGAGAAAAGTGGATTAAATTCGTCCAAAATAATCGTTTGTAATACATTTGTTCTTTGCATTTTAGGGAAGAGGATAAATATAGTACGAAGAAAGGAAGAAATTTTCTGAAAAAGTCCGCATTACCTTGTATAGATGTAAGTGATTAATGTTTATTATATATATTATATACTATTGTAACAATAGAAATATAGAGATAAAAAGTATTTTTTAAAATAAATAATTATGTTTTAAAATACTAAAATAAATTACTAACTTAAATACTCTCAATTTTGTTTAGTCGATAAATTCTGATGTTTTTCAGCCTAGGGGTATTGATGAATCAATGGAATCAATGAATCAACAAGCAATGGATCGTATATCAATACCAGTGAGCGACTCAGAATCGATTTTCGATTCTGAGTTCGATTTCGAAAATTATCTTGAAACGAAAACTTCAAAACGTCACTGTAGTTAAGAAAAAATTACAAAAAAAAATTAAAAAAAAATTCAGCGGCAAAATAGAAGTTTCAAGAAGAAATGTGAATCATTAACTGGTATTATAAAATCCGTGAGAAAGAAATTTTTTCTGAATGGAATAGCCGAGACTAATATAATGGCTAAATCAGAAGTTGTTGAACTACATAAGAAGTTTTTTAAATTATAGAAATAGAAAGAACAATATTTGAAATATACACTGACTGCGTAAATTTGCCTTAACATTGCATTATTACTCACCAGCGGCTTACAAATATGTAAGACAAATTTGCAGTAACGCTCTTCCACATCCACGTACTCTCTGTCGATGGTATGGATCAGTCAACGCTGAACCAGGGTTCACCAATGAAGCATTTCAAGCTTTAAAAATCAAATGTAACTTAAAAGAACAACCGGTAGTGTGCACGTTGATCTTTGATGAGATGGCCATTCGTAGGCAAAAATTATTTCATAATCAACAGATTCTCGGTGCTGTTAATTTGGCGCAGGTCCACAAGAAGCTGACGAAGAAGTTGCATCACAGGCTTTGGTGTTTATGTTAGTCTCACTAACGGAAAATTGGAAACTGCCTGTAGGCTACTTTTTAACTTCCAGTATAAACGCTGAAACCAAGGCTAATTTAATAAAAACATGTTTACAAAAATGTCATGAAGTTGGAGTAACGGTCGCAAGCCTTACATTCGATGGTTGCCCTGCAAACTTCTCCACTGCCGAAATTCTAGGTTGTGAACTAACAGATTGAATAACATTAAGACTGATTTTCCGCACCCGTCAACTCAAGAAAAAATTTGTGTGTTTTTAGATACATGTCATGTAATGAAATTAATTCGAAACACCTTTGAGAGAAAAAGAATATTATTTGATGAAGATGGCAAAAAAGTGAGATAGGAATTGCTTATAAATCTGAATAAACTTCAACAAAATGAGGGTCTCAGATTTGGTAACAAACTAACACCGGGTCACATCCATTTTAGAAACCAAGTTATGAAAGTTAAACTAGCTACGCAATTTTTGAGCATGAGTGTGGCAAAAGCACTGGTTCTTTGTGATGAAGTATTAAAGTCAACGCGGTTTCTGGATTCGTCAGCAACTGTAAATTTTATAACTATAATGAACAATTTTTTTGATACAATGAACTCGAGAAAGTGCCATTTTTATGGATTTAAACGTCCATTAGTGAATGTAACAAATCTACAATATTTTCATTTTTAAATAGTGTGAAGGATTATATACTGAACTTGAAATTTCATGTAAAATCTAGAAGAGTTATAAAAAGAAAAAATTTTGAACCTCAAATAAAATTATCGATAGCAAAAAAGAAAATTGTAGAGTCACCAAATATGTTCGTTGGCGCAATTATCTGCATAGAATCTCTGAAAACACTTTACAAACATCTAGTTGAAGAAAAACAGTTTGTCAAATTTATTTCCACTTACATCAAGCCTCAGTCAAGATCATTTGGAGTTATTTTTTGGAAATATAAGAAAACACAGTGGATACAATAATAATCCTAATGTTTTGCAATTCCGGGCTGCGTACAAAAAAACTCTAAATCATTTGGAACTCCGATCATCATTTACTGGTAATTGTATCCCACTGGACAATTTCACTATTTTACAATGTTCTTCTATTGACATAATTAACAGCACTACACCCCTTTAATAGACATGATGACCAACAATATGAAGTTTTATCATCTACCTGTATACTGAATTCTGATATTGAAGCCGAAAATTATTGTAACATATTTGCTGAGACACTAAATAATGAACATGTTACGAGTAGTTCCCAATTGATTGTTGGATACATTTCTGGATATATAGCCAGAATTTTAACAAAATTTTTAAAATGCGAAGAATGCGTAAATAGCTTAATCACGACAGAAAAGCTGCCACACCACAAATTGATAACCATCAAAGATATGGGTGGCTTATGCTACTCTACTGGCGATGTGTATAAAATATGTTTGACCACGGAAACCGTGATACGAAAACTTATAAGACAAAGAATAAAATATAACTTCAATTTCATTATTGTTAAAACTTTAGAATTTTTCATTGAAAAAGAGGTATTTACATCCTTAATTCAACATTCATTCATTTAATCAGCCAAGTACATTCAATCACAGACTTCACTTGATTCGGGCTATCATAAATAAATACACAAATATTCGTTTAAAACACGAAGCAAAAACTGATCAAGATAAAGAATATTTATCTAAACGCCAAAAATTAACTAAACTCATATTGTTTAAAGGCACTTAATAAAGTTTATTTTTTATTTTTACCAAAACATTTATAAATTTAATAATTGAAATTAATTTTCAGCAAAAAGAAAACAAATAAGTGATTTAAATAAATATATTTGCTTCGATTCCTTTCATTTTAAATAGTTATCTTTTAAAATATTCATATAAAAATGTAATTCTAATTGTAATTAATTGTAATAATTGTAATTAATATTCAAAATAATTGGCAAATTATTTAAATTTTAACTCGTTTTAATAAATTAATTACAATTTATGTAATTTAAATCCTATACTATTAAACGAGCAATTCTTGTATATATATATAATCGGGATCTCGGAAACGGCTCCAACGATTTTCATAAAATTTAGTGTCCAGGGAGTTTCGGGGATAATAAATCGATCTAGCTAGGATTTATTTTTAGAAAATGTCTTTTTATCCGTGTTTTTAGGCAATGAAAAACTGCTACAATATCGTTAGAATAAGAAGGTAAATTTTGACGGATTGTTAGTGATTATAAATAGCTTAATTGGTATAATGGTCGGTCACAGAATCGTAAAACCCCGGTTCGAGCCCAGACCGACCGACCGACTTTTTTAACTTTTTTTTCATGTTCCTTTCTTTTTTGAGAAAATCTATTTTTTCGAGCCCTTTTTTAGTATTTTTTAAAAACACGAAAATTAAAATTAAAATAATTGCACTCATGATTTTTTATTCAAATAACCAGTTCCGTTTTTTCTGTTATGTCGCTAAGATCAAAAAATATTATTTATATTTCATCAGTATGTAATTTGTATCTAAATATAATTTCCAAAACACACGAATTAAAAAAAAATCGAGCGAAAAATACCGAGCAAAGCTCGGTCAACCAGGTACTAAACAATAATTATTAATTACATACTGATCATTCTACCTAACTAATCTATGATGACACAAAACCGCGCATGCGCGTCACGAATGCTTACCGCCTATACGCAACGACACAGAGTAGCGCACAGTTTTTGTTTGAAATAGCTGTTCTAGTACGTAAGTACATTATACTTCAATGACTATTCTATAAACAATTTCTCATAATTTCTAAAATGTTAAATACGGTTTCTATAATAAAGTTTCTACCAATACTTCCCCCCAATCTTATGCAATACAACTGTTTAAAGAAGAATAAAACATTAAACCTTTAATTTACTATTTAATTTTTCCATTATTTCGTTATTTTATCACTTAAACAGATTCTTATTGACATTTATATTATCTTATTTTAACACAAAACATTAGTCGTTATTACACATATTATACATATTAAAACATTTAATAAAAATATTATTTTAACTAATATTCTTCAGAAACGGTTCGGACTTGTAAATTTGTTCTTGTAAAATTGTTCAAATTTCTAATCATTGTCTACACAAGTTGGCAAACTCAAATTTACACAACCCTCGGGATCCTATACGAGGCTCTTGCCATACCTTTCTAATATTTGTACTTATCCCTGTCTTAAATATACACCATTTCAATCTAGCATTAAGCTGTCCTTATCTAACATATTGGTATGTGTTATCAGTGATAAAAACATTAAGTAAACATTAATCGAAATGCTTAAAGCGAATAAAATGTTCTTAATTCTTTATTTAAATCGAATTACATAGCCGACTACTATGTAATCCATGAATCTAGGTAGTGCAAATAATCTTACTTTACTCAGAATTAGCACTTTATAATATTAACATAATTTTTTGTCTATAAAACAGTGAAAGATTTAACGAGATGTTTATCTCGCGTTGCCAACAACCAGATACATTGAGAAAGAGATGTTCTAATGATTTAATTATCTAATTCGTCAGAAAGTCATGTTGTCGTAAGAATTAGAGAAAATGATAAAAATACAAAATTTATTGCTAACTTAAAAATTGAGGATAAAAATTACCCACATGTCATGACTATTGCACTTTATTATCTTAATATATACATAAATTACGTGTCACGTTGTTTGTCCGCGATGGACTCCTAAACTACTTAACCGATTTTAATCAAATTTGCACACCGTGTGCAGTTTGGTCCAACTTGAGAGATAGGATAGTTTTTTTGCCCATGAGTGATCTACAATTTCTTTTTTTTTTTGCGAATTTAAGGATTTTAATAGGACATGACAAAAGGTCGTTGAAAAGGACAGAACAACATCTGCCTGGCAAGCTAGTTTATGTATATATTCCAAAAACTCTTGATCATATCAGCTGCTTTTTCCCCGATCATCATTCCCGGTGCGCTAGTGTGGGCAGATATGGGCATTGGTATGATTCCTGTATCAACAACTCGTAACCTTTTGACACCATGCACTCGTAATTCGGGATCTACAACGGCTAGTGGATCGCTTTCCGGTCCCATTCGGCAAGTTGCTATTTGATGATGGATAGTTGATGTAAGGGTGCGTAATGCACATTCCCAGTACTCGTCAGAGTCAAATTTTGAGGAATTACATGTTGAATATTTTGCTGGATATATCTTAGTTCCTAATCTTTGGAATGGCTCTGTATTCGCTAACGCTTGTATATGGCGAATTGCTGCTACGAATGTAGCCACGTCACGTGCATCTGTCAAATAGTTGCCGTATAGACGTGGATGGCTAAACGGATTCTTATCCTTTAATTCTAAATAACCAACAGATTTTGGATAGAGTAACATTGGGAATGCGCTCCACGTATTTGTGTTGTCTATTGGCCCAAAGGCTCCATTGAAGATTTCGTCTCTTATTCTCATTCCTCTGCGTACGGCTTTACTACCGCTTGGACCTCCATCAGACACGATTGAACCACCGATACTTATAAGTTCTATATCGGGTACTAACTCTAAATCATTTGAGACATGTGTTTTAATATAACCAATTCCTTCGACAGCGCCAGGGGATGATATTTGATTACCGCCGTTTCTGAGCCATTCTATTAAATCGGGTATATTTAATCCTTGAGATTCAAGTAAGCTGACGTTTGTCTCATTTATTGTAAAAACAATTCCTGGGAAACATATGTGATCATATAGAGTTCTGCCTACCGGCAGGTCTTTAATGACATTAATACCAACTAAAGTCATGTGTTCCTTGGGTCCAACGCCAGAAAGCATCAATAGTTGTGGTGACGCTATAGGTCCAGCTGACAAAATAACTTCCTTGCGTACCGTTGCTGTTCGTAAAACGTTTTTGTGAACATATTCGACTCCATAGGCTGTTTTTGTTACAGGGTCTATCAATATTTTAGTAGCTTTAGCTTCAGGTAAAATGTGTAAGTTAGGTCTATTTTTCTGTCTATGCAGAAATACTTTGGCCGCACTTTGTCTTCGCCCATTGCTTATTGTAACTTGTACCTTGCCAAATCCCATAACTTCTGGTGCGTTGTAGTCGACTGTTGGATGCCCTAGTATTTTTCCGGCCTCCAAAAAAGCTTTTAACAATTTTGTTCTGCAATTAAATTTTAAATTAAATATTTTTTTAGACGGAAAATGAACTTCGTATTTTGTTATAAGTTATTTGGTGTAAACAGGTGAAGTAAAAGTAACATAAAGTTATAAAAGAGAAAATAATTATTTACTAGGTCCTTCCGTATATAAATGCCTTATTATTAAAAAATATTCGTTTTTAAAGTTTTAATATTTAGATAATAATTCGAAGTATTATTATTGTATAAGTCGAAATTTCGGAGTAAAATTTATTGTAGGTATGTCAAATTGCTGAAATGCTTGTACATAAGGTAGCCTTAATTTGGTTTTGTACTCTATTTCTGTCCTTGAAAAGACGACGATGCCTCACTGTACAAACATTTCAGCAGACGGGACTAGCACCACCCAAATTTAGAAAAAATCTAATGCTTTCCTCGGAGACTAATATGCAAGACAAAGTGTAGGATTGTATTGTTCGGTCTTCTGCACATATATGCACATATGTATAGTATGTATGTAGTCTATGTTACTAAAGCCTTTTCAGAAACTGATTTGTTTGGTAGGATGGAAGTTTTTAATAGAGCGTTTTTACCTTTTTTGAAGGATAAGATCAGCGTACTCTATTCCATGCCTTTGGAGGATCTACTATTCCGATGGTTTCCTCGCCATCATGGAGGACGGAATTACATAGCTTCTGTGAGATTTTAAGTAGTTCCGTTGTAAGTCCATCCTCATCTGCTATGCCTTATTGTAAGGTCCTGGTGAGTCATTCTTATTTCTCCAGATCTGACGTCCGGGAAATCATCGGAGTAGTGGATCAGTAGTTTACGTAGATCAGATTGTTTGAATAGGTAAATCCAACTTAGAACACGAGTTCAGTCAACGGATTAAACTATGCTGGACGGTTTGGGAAAGTATATGCATCTTTTCGTTACGTATTCCTCAAACTTGCACACAAGAGTCTACACCCAGTGCGTGTTGCCAGTGATGACATATGGGTCTGAGACGTACTCTTGCACTGCTGGCCGTTTAAGAAAAATTATTGGGTACGCTCAGCAAGTAATTACAAGGGATATGCTCGGAGTTTCTTTGCGTTTTAGAATTCGTAATGAAAATATCCGCAGTAAAACCAGAGTAACCGACACAGTCTAATTATTCAGTAAAGTGGAGTAGCAATGGGTAGACCATAAAGCTCAATAAACCGAAAGCCGATGAGACCGAAGGGTCTCGAGTTGCTGTCTTGTTCCGGCAGGCGTTAAAGACGGCCCCCACTAGATGGTGACGACCTGATAAGACATGCAGAAAGTAGAAGGACGCAGGTGGATTAATGTAGGTTTTGTACCATTCTTTGAAGGAAGTCCTTGCTTAGCAGTGGACGTATAAAGAGATGAAATGATGATGATGATGAATCAAAGTATCGACCTTTATGTTGGATTTAATTCAGCCCTTTTTAAGAATATCTCTACTACAGAAATCCTGTGGATAGGAAACATTTTTCACCGCCGTATCAAAGTTAAATATCTATTAACTTAGAATTATAAATATAAGTATATTTTATGTATTTATATGTATATTTGCGTGTATGTGTACTATATATTTGTCTGTCTATATATACATACTATATATTTGTCTGTATTTATTTATTTATTTATTTATTTATTTTATTTTATTTATTCTCTTTTGTACACCACAATACAGAAACATCAATATAGTTAAAACTAATTAAAGTATGTACAATAGGCGGTCTTATCACTGAAAGTGATTTCTTCCAGACAACCTTTGCATAGAGGAATGATGCAAACAAAAGTTACAAATAGAGGGGGGGCATACAAAATAATAATAAAAAAATACAATAATACATACAAATAAAAGTAAGTGAAAGTTATATATAAAATATCATATAATAGATTAAATGAAAAGAGTAAGAGAAAGGTAAAGTTATTTATCTAATAGCGTTCTAAATAATACGATTTAACAAGAATTTTGAAAGAGTGAAGAGATTTAGCACGACGAATATGGAGATGTAAGGAGTTCCACAATCGCACAGCGGTTACGGTGAAGGATTTCTTGAAAAAGGAAGAAGAGTGCAAAGGTGTAGAGAGAGAAAGATTGATGGAGGATCGAAGGAACCGATTATGAGTAAGAGAAAGATATTGGAAACGGTTTTTTAAATAAAGAGGAGTAGAAGGATTAATTCGAAATACAAATCAGATCAGCGTTAATAGTGTCAACTGCTTTAGATAGATCTTCAAGAGAGGACTGAGTATAGATTTGGAGATCGTCAGCTTACAAGTGGTGGGAAGAGGACAAATTATGACTTATAGAGCTAATGAAAATTGCAAAAAGGAGAGGAGACAACACGCCACCTTGTGGTACACCAGCAGCTGTAGTAATCCAGGTGGAAAAAACCTCTTGCACCTGAATTCGCTGTCGGCGACCAAACAAGTAACTTCGAAACCAGTCAACTACAGTTGGAGATATGTTGAGAGAGCGTAGGATGCTTAACAAAATATCAAAATCTACAGTATTAAATGCGTTACTAAAATCAAGCAACGTGAGAATAGCAAGCTTTTGTTTCTCCATACCATACCGAATATCATCAGTGATTTGTAAAAGTGCAGTAGTCGTACTATGGCCAGGACGGAAACCAGATTGCAAGGGATTTAAAAGATTGTGTTTTAAAAGATAGGTGCTTAATTGATTGTGCACAAGACGTTCTAGAACTTTGGAAAAGAAAGGCAAAATAGAGATAGGTCTATAATCGGAAAAACTAGAGGGATTTGACTTTTATATTTTGTCTGGTCATAAGTTCTGTCAAAACCTTTAAAATCGGGCCAGTATTCAAAAATTTAAAATTTTTGAATACTGGCTCGATGAACTTCCCTAATTTTAAAAATATTATGTTTATGCTCGCCGAAAATAAAAAAAGACAATAATTTTCATTAATTTCCAAATATGGAGTGGTCGAAGAAAGAAGGTAGAGTAGCGGTTATCGCGTTGTACAGCTGTGGTTACGCGCCAAAAGGGATTTTCAATATTTTACAATTATTGAAAATAACCCTACAATTTGTTTATCGCACTATCAAACAATTCACTGAAGATTCAAGCTTCGAAGATCCTAAGACGACCTTCTGACCTCGTACAGTTAGAACACCCGCGATCATCAAAGCAATGAAGGCGCGAATCCAACGAAATCCTGTTCGTAAACAAAAAATTTTAGCTCTTCAGATGAGCCTAAGCAGAACCACGGTTAAAAGAGTAATCAATGAAGATCTAGAACTACAAGCTTATCGTAAGAAGACCGGAAATTTTTTGAACGAGCGTTTGAAAAAATTTGGCTGAATAAATCCTGCGCTTTGTTACGGCGGTACGCAAGAAAAAATACCGCGGATTTTTGTTTTCGGATGAAAAAATTTTTAACATCGAAAAAAGTTATTCTAAACAAAAAGATAATGTGTATGCCCACAGCAGTGAAGAAGCTAGCGCGCGTATTCCGAGGGTTCAACGAGCACATTATTGTCTCACATTGGAGTCTCACATTCAGGCTTAATTGAGGTGTTTTTCTGTGAAAAAGATGTAAAAACCAGTGGCGGGGTGTATTAAAAATCGTCCTAGCAAATATAAAGGAACCTCTTTCTCAAACAATGTTCAAAAACAGACATTGTATATACCAACAGGACTGTGCACCAGCTCATATTGCACGAAGCACGCAAAACTGGTTGACCGCCCATGGAATTGACTTTATCGGACATGAAGACTGGCACTCTTCTAGTCCAGATTTAAGCCCACTGGATTATAAGATGTAACATTTGGAAAGGAAAATCTGTGCTAAACCTCATTAGCATTTGGAATCTCTCCGAGGATCTTTGGCTAAAGCAGCAGCAGAAATAGATATGAGTGTGGTGCGTGCTGCGATTGATGATTGGCTGCGTCGATTAAGGGCATGTTTTAAAAATAGGGGTGGGCATTTTGAATCATGTAAATAAAATTGTATTCTAAATTAAATTACCTTTCATTTCATCTATAATCTATATCTATACATATAATAAAACAGTAACGAAAGAAAAACTGTACATTGAGAATTTTCGAGAAAAAATAAGTGGCTTTTGTTAGAAAAACGTAACAGATGACAAAAAGTACTTTTTAGAATTTTTGTCTGTTTGTCTGTTTTTCTGTCTGTCTGTGTGTATGGTACAGCCTCACGCCAAAACTACTAGATAGATTGAATTGAAATTCAGCAAAAATATTCTTTGTAAACCAAGGAAGTCTTTAGGTTACATATTATCACGCCGTATGTTATAGGAGGTAAGCAATATTGATTTTAAAAGGTTTTTCTTAGTAATTGAATGCACAAAATGACATGTTATTAGGTAAAATAAAAATAAAAATTTAACTCTGGAAACATAATAATCACGCTATTTTTATAAAGGACGGGGCAGTAATATTATAAACTAGCTTCTGCCCGCGACTTCGTACGCGGATCCTGTTGGTTACGCCAGCGACAACGGGGTCGTCAAAATCGAAGATCTGAAACGTCTGATATCGAATTTTAAGAGCCCGAGGACGGGAAAACGACGTGATACGCGAGACGATTCGAGGCGTTCCAGATCTTTCATTTTTGTAAGTCAACAGGAAATGCTCATCAGACTAAACAACTTTTGCTAAGACGTGATTCCTATATATGTTATAATGTCGCTGCGCTTTGGAGTTCCACAACAGGTGTTCCAGATCTTCAAATTTATTCTCACAGCAGAAAATACTCTTCACGTGGAATATTTTTTGCTACGGCACCATTTTTATATCTCTTATACTTTAGCTGGTCTGTTGCGGTTCTGCATCAGGTGTCCCATTTTCCAAAATAAATTATAGCCTATATGTTGCCTAGACTTAACATCTATACAACAAAAACCTTTTCATCCCATATATTTCACCGATCCGGTGCGTAATGCATCGGATCCCAAGACCACTGAATTAACAATAATATTGCAAATAACTTTTAAAAAAATTCCCGACTTGACTAAACAAATGAAAATTAACTTTGAAATAATACGAGTTTTTACGGAATTTATCGCGTATATTTATATTTAACTTTTTAAATACCCGACGTTTCGAGAGCTTTACAGCGCCCATGGTCACGGGAAGGACTGAGATGTTCAACGTCCAGATGTCATAGTTAACCGCGGTTACCATAGATTAAAATTTAACTTTTGTTCCGATCTACACAGTATGAACTTATGGTATCATGAAGTCTTGCAGTTGTATGCTGGGTTGGGATTTAATTTTATTTATTATAGGATCCCAAGCAGATGGTAGTACCCAGCCATCTTCTCTATTGAAATTAGGATGTTTTTTGATTTCAATAGCCTCGCGAATTATCCTTGGAAGGAATCGGTGTTCTTTAGCGAGGATTTGTGGTCTATCAAATCTGATGTAGTGACGGGGGCGATCCTGTACATGTTCACAGACTGTAGAGTTCCCGGAGCGTCGATTCTTCACATCAGCTATATGTTCTTTGACGCGGGTTTTAATTGATCTTTTAGTTTGTCCTATGTAGGAGAGACCACATTCACAATCAAGCTTGTACACTCCTGCATCTTGCAGAGGGACGTTACACTTGACTGATGGTAAAAACTGACCAATCTTCTTCGGCGGCTTGAAGTATGTTTTGATGGAAGCGCGCTTCAAGATGTAGCCAATCTTGTCACTGACTCCTCTAACATATGGCAGTACAGCAGGTACACGCTCGACTGCTCGACGCCGGCTTCACTCGTTCTCTGTGACGTAGGCGCGGGACCCGAAGCTTGTTGTCGTGCATTTAATTTAATTTATGTATTTAGCGGTAAGGTCAGGCGACCGTTTACCGCATTAAATGGTGCGAGTTTAAATACAATAATATTGTTTTGAAAAATCGTTATTTTTTTAAATTTTTCTATTTTTTATGTGCATTAGGAAATCTCAAGTTACACTATCATGAAGTCAAGTCAAACTTTTGGTTCTAATATATATCTTACCAAGCACATATGTTGTAGGTAATTGATTTAAGTATGTAATTCTTAGTTTTGTTCCTTGCTGCTGTTACCACATTTTTTTAATGCAAAAATAATGTACTTATCTGTTAAACTATCTAATACTAATTCAGAAGAACATAAGCTGAAGCGTACTACTCACCAAAATGGGTGCCTAATATAACTGGCACATAGCACAGGCGGTCAAGGTCGCAACTAATAAAGTGAAGTGATGATAATATAACCTTAAATTGGATACTGTTCAGATAGGTCCACTGACTGCAGGCTAAAAAAAGTGTAATTTTAGTGTCGTCAATTAATAACTGAGGTAATTTTTGTATAAGTTTTAGAAATAAGTGTTAAAAATTTACATATATTAATATAAGAAAACGAATACAACGTAATAATAACTTTTTAAAATAATATAACATATTAATTAATAAAGTTAAGAACACACTGGTAACACGAAATTTTTTGAAAATAAAAATAAAGTGCATGTACAATAGAGTACATAGAATAAAGTACATACCTTCGGTTTGAAATCAATAATTTCAGCATAGTTAGACAGATTGATTAAAATATTATTATGTGTCACGCGCGGACGTCCGTACGTTACTATCCGTTGGGGCCCACTGAAAACCAGCGCTGTTGCTCCAGCGACAGCATAAGCTGAGTGAGGTCCGTTTGTATGACGCGCCACAACATACTCGTACAATATGAGAAACGCTTTTTTTGTCATTCTATTTTTTTATTATATTATTTTTTTTTAAATTATAGTATATAAGTATGCATACTTTTAAATTGTTTTATCCGTCAAATCGTTGTTTTGTTTCCTATTTTTGTTTTTATTATAATGTTTATAATTGATGTGTCCACTAATGTTAAAATTTAAGTGCCTACTGATGATTGTGGCGTGCTGCAATAAATCTTTCTTTCTTTCTTTCTAAATTAACGACAATTTGAATTAATAACTTAATTAATTCATTTGGGTAGATAATATGTAGTTTCCGTTTTCTAACTAGATGGCGTTGGCGTCGAGTTAGATCACGCTATGGTTTCGTTCCCAAAAAGTGATGTTATAGGTGCCGATGGGCTGCTCTCATCCTATAGAAAAGGGGGGTTACTTTTGTTGTCTGTGTTGGTTGGTGTGTTTAATTTTCCTGCGAATAATAATTATTTTTCGACTTACTAGCAATTCTTACGCACATATTCGATTACTTTCATTGTTTTGAATATCGTTAGTATCGGATTAAGAAGGAATTTTAGCTGTGCCTTTTAGAAAAAGATCAAATCTGGCTCGAAACTCAAGGGTTTCTACGATGCGCAGGTTAGTTCGATCTCTCGAAACCGACGTAGAGCGTGAACAACGGCTAGGTGCTAACCATAAGCGTAATGCACTAAGTTTTTTAAAAGTTAATTTGCATTTGTTTAGTCAAGTCGGGAATTTATTTTAAAGTTATTTGCAATAATGTTGTGAATTGCGGAACATGCGAAATGCCCGGTGCATTCCGCATGGGATCGGTGAAATATACGGGATGAAAAGGTTTTTGTTGTATAGATGTTAAGTCTAGGCAACATATAGGCTATAATTTATTTTGGAAAATTGACTCCTGATGCAGAACCGCAACAGACCAGCTAAAGTATAAGAGATATAAAAATGGTGCCGTAGCAAAAAATATTCCACGTGAAAAGTATTTTCTGCTGTGAGAATAAATTTGAAGATCTGGAACACCTGTTGTGGAACTCCAAATCCCAGCGACATTATAACATATATAGGAATGACGTCTTAGCAAAAGTTGTTTAGTCTGATGGGCATTTCCTGTTGACTTACAAAAATAAAGGATCTGGAAAGTCTCGAATCGTCTCGCGCATCACGTTGTTTTCCCGTCTCCGGGCTCTTAAAATTCGACATCAGACGTTTTAGATCTTCGATTTTGACGACCCCGTTGTCGCTGGCATAATCAACAGGATCCGCGTACGAAGTCGCGGGCAGATGCTAGTTTCTATATAATTATCAAAAAGTGTGTCATTAATTTTATAAAAAGTTTTTGACAGAACTTATGACCTGACTAAGTATATGTATATGTGTATTTATTTTTATTTTTCTACATTGTCTCCTTGTAACTCTACACCCTAACCCGTCCAAATAGTATTTGGCAATTTTCTCTGCAAAATAATTGTTCACAAAGGTGGTTGTCTCCTCACCGGATAGAAAATGTTGACGTATAATTATAAAATAAAGATCCACTGTTGGGTGGCGCTTCAATCACTACATGCTTACCGCCTAGTGCTCGTAAGAAATTTGAGAATTTCCACAGTAGCCAGAAGTCTTCAGCAACCGTTTTCCACATTTCCGTAGTCATCTCGGGTTACATTCCCCCCACATACCCCACACATTAATTGGTACACAATAATTTTGTATGTCTATTTGACAATTTTATTAACTGTGCTATGACCTAAACGGTAGCTAAATAAAATTGTCATGTAAGTCACCAGTGGCCAAAAATCCGAAAAAAAACCAAAATATAAATTGAACTTTATTGTTAACGATTTTTAAATTTTTTAGATTGGATCTCCTGCAAACAGAGATGGACAAATATAATACACCACCACAAAAAGGATATAAAAACTCAAAAAAAAACTGTTACTGGCCAAGTTGCAAAAAGATAAAACTGTATACGTTTTCTAAACAATTTCAATTTATCAAGGGTGTTGACGAAGATCTCTACCTTGAGGTTCTTGAGGTTTCCGGCGTCGCTCGCTGCTGGAACTCAGGACTTGGTTTGTTAATCGTATTGTCACTCGAGTCGGCTGGCGCAGATACTGTTGTTTCACTTTTCAGTTTAGTGCCGTTATTATTGTCTGTATCATTCTGAGAATTTTGCGTGCCCCATTTCACATACAAGTTTCCTTTATGATATTGCAAATGTACTTCTAAAGAATCTAAAGAAAGATAGTGTCCAAATATAGATCGCAAACTTTGCAATGATAATCTCTTGATGGTAAGGTCGAAGACACAGCGCTACTGTTAGCCATTTAAACCATTAAATCAAAGGAGAATACCGTCTCCTCCAATGAAGAAAAATAATAAAAACACACTCCTTGTTTCGAGTCGCATGTAGTCGAGACATAAATCAGGTGCTACAGTTTAGAATAAGAGTAATGGTCGCGATTTCGTTCCCTGACGATCTATGAGAAACGATTCAATTGACATAAATCAGCAGTTAAATTTGCAGATCCACGATGATGTTGTAATTAGTCCACTGTCTACGTCATTAGCAATGTCACAAGCAACATCTTCGGCTACAAACGAACAAGCTGAGTCTCACCAGACCTGCCATTATCAGCGACTGAGACGACTTAGCGTTTGAAAAAAAAAGTGTCTGACCCCGATTCTGAATCTGCTTCAACTACTTAATGTCACCATCTACACCTATTATTTTGTCTTCCTCCTTCGCCCTTATCTCCGTCAATGGCGGCTATTTTATCGTCTCCTCTGCCGTCTTCTGAACAATCAAAGACTACGGAGTCAGTACAATCGTATATAGATAGTCCAAATAATAATTAATATGATAAATCCTCTTCCCCCCGGACCTCTGAGGTGTTCAGACGTATCTTGTACAAAATTTTATTTAAAATTATTTTCCAAAAAAATACTTTAAATATTGCGCATTTATTCGAGTGCATAAAATAGGAGTGCATGATCGCGAGGAGGTGATATCAGTGACTGTTCCTGGTACGCGCCGAGTGCATCCGCTAAGCTGACTCAAAGCTGCGACCCGCCGCGCAAGCGCCACCCACCACAGCTTGCTGCCCGCCCCGGGAGGCGTAGCACCGCTTGACCAATACGCTCCGCTTACCCCGTCAACTTGCTGCGTTGAAGTCGGTAAGAAGACTTGCCCTCTTGTGATTCATATCCCGTACACTTCTGTTGCTCTGGTATAATATGACTGAGCGGCGTAGCGAACAGATGGACCTAGAGATGTCGCTGTGCGTCTCGGAAGATGAAAAAACTCCACCAAATTTTGTTACACAACGTACACAACAAAGACATATTAATAACTCGGATAAAATAAGACAGGATCAATTTATGGACCTAAAAGCAGAAATGGCTAAACTAATGGCAATCACAAGTAAACAAGCAAAAGATCTCAATGACCTCACTTCGACACTTAAGGAGGTTCGCCTGTCAAATCAAAATATTGAGAGCTCGCTTACATTATTAACCGCTCAAAATGAGGAGTTTAAAAAACAAATTGTAGCCCTGCAAAATCATGCAAAGGAAGACAGGAATTATATAATGCAATTAGAAAACAAACTGGAGGATTTGCAAATCTCCACCCGCAAAACATCATTCGAGCTGAAAAATGTTCCTAGGAAAGAAAATGAATCGAAGCAAGATCTAATTGACATGACTATACGTCTTTCAGAAACCATAGATTGTAAAATTAACAAAGGCGACATTAAAGATATTTACAGGTTGCGTGGAAAAAAGCCAGAACAAAAAAACACACCCATAATTATAGAAACAAACTCTGCATTGTTAAAAACAGATTTTATGAGGATGGCGAAGGCATTCAACATTCGGAACAAAACTAAAATTTGTGCTAAGCATCTAGGCTTTAAAACCAATGAAGACACCCCTGTCTTCCTCTCTGAGCACCTGACTGCTAGAGGATCACGTCTATTCTTTTTAGCTAGAGACTTAGCAAAATCAAAAGGCTATAAGTACTGCTGGACCGCTTATGGTAAGATATATGTGCGAAAAAATGAACTTTCTCCTATTATCCTGGTTAGAGCCGAAGAGCAAGTACACCAGCTACTAAAGGAAAAGTGACTAGCTTTGCATATCCTAGGTCTGTTGTTTCTTCTTTTATATCTCATGCTCGCGTTTATTGCGCAATTATTGTTTGATTTACTTGTGTTGACTATACGATTGCATAATACTTTTTCACTATATTTGTTATACGCGTGCAATACACATAAACTCACTACTTTGTACTTACACAAATATGTTTTATACATACACTCACACACACAATACCTTACCCAATTAACTACACTATGCCCTAGCAAACACTCTTTACAGATACTAACACGTATCACATTAATTAGAGATAAACCTCTTAAATCAACATACATATGTAACAAAAAAGAAAATTCAACCGTAAACTTTACAAAGTATACATATTATTATTATAATAGGTCGCCTACAATCACATACTTGACGCTTTGCGAATTGACGTATTTTCGCCTATTTTCCTTTTCACGTGAATAATACAATGACCGCACTTCAAGAAATAGACAGAATAGAGCTGGCACGGTCTAGTGAATGCGACGTGGAGGAGTTTATTAAGCATGTAAATGTAAAGAAGAATGACTTTACTATGATATCACAAAATATAAGGAGTATATATTGTAACATTGATGATTTTGTACTGACTTTGTCTAGCTTTAACTTCAATACTGATGTTATTGTAGAGTGTAGACTTAATTCTAACAAACCTCTACCTGTTCTGCCCAACTATTGCTCCTATTTTACTGAGTGTAGGCTGAACCAAAACGATGGTGTCGTAGTATATGTAAAGAATGCTTTAAAACACAAAATTAAGGAAATACATTTAACCCATGCATCATGTTTACAGCTCGACATACTAAATAATATAATTTTATGTATATATAGATCACCATCAATTAAAAATGCTGATAATTTTATAAATTCATTGAATTCACACTTAAGTTCTATAAAGTCACTTCATAATATTTTTATTACAGGCGATATTAATATTAACATTGCTCTCAAGCCCATAGAACTACCCCAAGAACAGAAAAATCGACTAAATTACTTAAACATGTTATCTGAGCACGGTATATTGGCCGGCCACTCTATCCCTACAAGAGAACAGAACTGCCTAGACCATATTATGTTAAATATAAATAAGCTCAAAGTACAGGCATCTATTTTTGTGTTACACACGACCACCACTGACCATTTTGCAACTTTCCTCATACTCTCAAAAATCAAACCTAAGCTTTTTGTACCTAAATCAAAAATATCCACTGACTTTAACAAAGCTCTAGATCACCTTAAAAATCAAAACTTAGATAAACTGCTACAATGCGATGACCCTGAGTTAATAACTAATCATTTGATTTATGCACTTACCAACTCACTAAAAGAACATACCGTTACCATAACTATTTCTAGAAAAAATCGTATCCTAAAACCTTGGATCACACCAGGTATTTTGCGCTGCATAAGAAACCGTAATAAGCTTCAAAAACAAGCACGTAATGAGCCTTACAATAACGAAATCACAATCACATACCGGAGATATAGAAATTACTGTAACAATCTTATTAAAAGGATAAAAAGAGACTATGAGAGAGAGTTGTTGGCTAAATCGGTCAAAAATAACAAACAATTATGGAAAAATATCAAAACTATTACTCACACTAATAAACTCAAGACTTTAAATACAGAACTTGTTAATGTTTCTGAAAACCCGATAGCCTCTGCAAACTCTGTAAATAACTATTTTTCTAATATTGGTAAACAGCTTGCAGAACAGATCGAATATGTTGAAAGCGACTCTAACTCTTACCTCCAAAATCTACCAACACATCCAAACTCCTTTGTACTTCTGCACACTGATAATTATGAAGTTAACAACATTTTGATGAACCTAAAATCTAAAAGTTCTCCAGGCTGGGATAATATCCCGACTGCTTTTCTTAAACATGCAAAAGAAGTAATCGTTCCCATTATAACTCACCTAGCAAACCTGTCCTTTGATAAAGGAATATTCCCAGCTCCCCTGAAGCAGTCGATTATTACTCCGGTTTACAAGACTGGGGATAGAGATGACGTAAGCAACTATAGGCCTATATCGGTGCTACCTGCGATATCCAAAATACTCGAAAGACTTATAAATTGTAGATTAAACGCCTACTTACAAAAATATGAGATCTTGTCTGCTTCCCAGTTTGGTTTCAGACAGGGAAAGTCCACCGAAGATGCAGTCTCTGCATTGAGCTCATTGGTAGTAGAGGAAATGGATGAACATAATAAATGCATAGCAGTATTCTTGGATTTGAAGAAAGCGTTTGATACGGTCTCTATCCCCATTCTTGTACATAAGCTGGAAAGAGTTGGTATCAGGGGTATTCCACTAAAATTACTCTCGGACTACCTTGCAAACAGGAGGCAGAAAGTAAAACTAAAAAATTATACTAGTGACAGTACTAATGTGTCGTTTGGTGTTCCGCAGGGAAGTGTTCTTGGCCCTACGTTATTCCTAATTTATCTGAATGATTTATGTAACATGACCCTTGAAAATGCCAAAATATTCTCTTATGCGGATGACACAGCCGTTGTTTTCACCGGAGGATCCTGGGACATTGCTAAAAAGAATGCAGAAAAAGGTCTTCGCGACTGTAAGAGGTGCTTACAGGTATGCTTGGAGGATAAAACATATGATGATCTAGAGGCATTATTAGTTAAAATTAAATAGTAACGAAAACACATACACACACTCACATACATGTACACGCACACACACACACACACACACACACACACACACACACACACACACACACACACACACACACACACACACACACACACACAGAAACACTCACACACACATACACACATATATATATATATATATATATATATATATACACACACACATATATATATACACAAATGCACGCTAAATTGCACACTTTTTTTTAATGTAAAAAAAAGGAAATTTAACCTATTAGCTGTAGTCACTTTTAAAATTAGTTATATATTAGAACTATACTAGTATAATTATTCTCACGTTTGAACGTGCTACTTCAAAATCATGTAAATCCAAAAATTTTATTTTTAACTTGTACATTCTTCTAAAAACGACATAAATGAATGGAAGAGCGTTGCTCCCTAATACAGG